CTAGAGGAGTAAAGACAGTTATACATCTGAAGAGAGGCTTTATGCCTACCACTGAAACTCATCCCCTGCACCCTGCTATTCTCACTAAACCTTGTCTTACAATCAAGTATCAGACCACTCTAGCTGGAGCTGTTCAACTCCTAACTCAGGCAGGCATGGAGCTTGCCAAACTGCCTGCCCCCTTGGTCTCTGCTTTTCTTGCCACCTGCCCTCCACCCCACTCCACTGCTTTCCTACTGCAGCAGTGGGAGGGGGGAGAGGGACAAATATGAGACATCCCTCCCATAATTAGATTAGTTGTCTTGGATTTGGGTAAATATGGTAGTTGTGTGGAGCACAGCCTTAATGAGATTCTATTGCTAGGGAATATACACATCAAAGAGCTAAATCAAATAAACCCCTTTAAAATCTGAGGTTTCTTGGTTTAAAACCTTGCATCATACATTGGGCCAGTTTAACAACCTCTTAGAAAACAAGTCATCTTTGGCTTATACCTAAAGACAGCAGAGGTCAGCACTAGCCAGTCATTTTTGTTCTAGTCCTGGTGTACTGTACTTATTCAGAAGCTCCCAGAATGCAGATCCAACAGAAAAAAAAAAGCTGACCATTTTCTTCGCTTTACTGATGTACATCTGCACTAAGCAAAAGTCTGGAATCAATAAAAAAAGCTTTATTTAGAAAGCTGAGACTAGAGGAGAAACAGCATACATTTGGCAAAAGGCAGAAAGGTTTGTACAGGGCAAGGACGAGATGTAGAAAATTACAGCACCACATTTTTGTCCCTCTGAAGGTTGCTCGTGTCAGCATTTAAATTACCCATCCTATTTGTGGGACTATTACAGCGTGTGCTTAGGTGAAACTTGGTGTACAATAGGACACCTCAGGGAAATAATTTGGAGCAAATTTTCAACACAGAGCATGTGGAGCTGAATATAGCGAAATGCTGGATTGTACTTGGAGAAAAACCTCTCTCCTGGCAAAGTGTATATATGCGAATTCTTATGCTGTGCAAGCTGGGAAATGCCCAATCACTATCCTGAATTTTGTGGCAACAATTTGCATTGAAAAGAGGGCTTCTTTATCCTATCTGTTGTGGCCCCAGAACAAAAGTTTTAGTTCAGTCAGAGGCTATGCTGCTTAGTACTGAGAGGCACAGCTGCTTTTTCACAACAAAGAGAAAAGTGCAGGAGCAGAGGGAAGCAGTCCTGCAGTGAGAAGCTCTTGAACCTGTTTGGCATTTCTCTGAGCATCTGGCAGCCTTGATAAAGGTATTGATGGGGTGCGGGGGAGCAGGTAGTGTTCTTGCCCAGTGCTTCTTTACTTCTGATTTTGCTTTCACAGAGCTACAGAACTGACTTTCTCTTCTCTTTGCCTTTCAAAAGTATCCGTGAACTCTTCCTTGGGGAACGCTCAGGAGGCCTATCACCTCTCAAGGTCTTCCTCTTCATTAGGTGCTGTGAGCAAGACAAAGTCACGCAATAGCCTAGAGCTTTTCTTGACAGATTGGATATTTCCTGCAGCATCCAGAAGGCAAAGGTCACATAAGGCCCCTGGGCTTGTGAAATCAGTAGACAAACCCCTCCCTCTGCCTCCACCTCCCCTCCACATTCACCTTAAAATTGTAAAAGTATAAAATGCCCCAGGTTTTATTTGTGCTTTGAGCAAATAATGCAAAAGTGTTTTCTGCAACAAACCAGTGTGCAGTATAATCAGTGAAACCCACTTAGAACCATTTTTTTTACCAACAAGGAGAGTGTTCGGACTTCACAAGGTTGAAATATGTTATTCTCTTACACCCCCATTTACAGCCAAAACTAAAAGGAGGAAGACATGAAATGACTTCTGTGGCAATTTTAGTTACCTGACTCCAAAAATACAGGACTACCATTCTCTGGCTTTCAGTGACGTGTGTCAGGATACAGAGCTGCAGTCTGGGGCTTTTGTTTTTTATTTGCCAAATTAGCATATATAAATAAGTACCATATTTTTTTACAGTATTTATATCCTGTAATTGTTACTACAATAATGAACATGCAGGGTGACACAATTGAGGAAAAAATATATTGGGAAAACAAATCCTGAATTTCAGCATCAACATGTTGAGGCCATTAGAAAAATGAAAAATAAGTTTTACAATTATTGTATACTTTCAAAACAGAGCTTTTTTATTAGGCTTCATAAAACTAATGATTCTTACTGGATTTATCTGCAGAAAGTCTGAGAAATATTCTCATATCTTGTTCATGGCTTGTATCATTCTCTGCCAAGGTCAAAATGTTTCAAAGTATCAAAAGATTCTGATTAAGTAAAATTATTTTTGTACTAACGTTGTATTCTACTTTGCCCTCCAATAAAAACAGAGCTTATGTCACAGCCGTTTGCATTATGTCATTAAGTAGATATTGGCCCATTGTACCACATGATAGAGAAAGCTTTTCAGAGGGGCTGAACATGGATTTTTTTGCACTGAAAAACTGAATCAGTTCTCACAGCTGAAGTCAGGACAAGCAAGCATACCAGGATATACATCTTCCTTCATGTTCTTTTGGACACATGCAATATTCATTGCACAGTTTTGCATATTGGCTTCTATTCCATCCAGGAGATCACAGAACAGCAGCAGACTCTCCCTGTGCCTGAATAAGAGTATTTGTGCCCAAAAGCTTGCAAAGAACAATTTTTCCAACTATTTATTTGGTCTAAAAAAAAATATATAAAGAAACTTGTCTGCCTATGTCCTTAGACCAACACAAAGGATGTTGATAGACTTGAAAGGGTCTAGAGGAGGACCACTCGTATGGTTAAGGGCTTACAGGACAAGCCCTATGAGGGGAGACCAAGGGACTTGGACCTCTTCAGCCTCCTCAAGAGAAGGCTGAGAGGTGATCTTGTGGCCACCTACAAATTCATTAGAGGGACACAGCAAGGGATAGGAAATGCTCTGATCTCCAGGGCGCCTCTTGGGGTAACACTGAACAATGGTCACAACATTTGGAATGGGTTTCCAGGGAAGGTGGTGCTCTCCCCTACCTTGGAGGTCTTTAAGAGAAGGCTGGATAGGCACCTGGCTGGGATCATCTGACCCCAGCGCTCTTTCCTGCCTATGCAGGGGGTCGGACTCAATGATCTGTTCAGGTCCCTTCCGACCCTAGCATCTATGAATCTATGTATAGTGACCCAACCTACAAGGTTGGCAGTAGCCCCATTACATCTGAGGGAGGGGCAGTTAAGGGTATAGCACATTTTCTCTTTTGCCAAAGATATCCAGTACAGTTGGCAAGTCATGTAATTAGCATTTCTGTTTTCAGTCTGTAAAATGGTACTAATACTTCCCTCTGTTACAGGTCTGATGAGAGGCTAAAATACCTTAAGAATGGGAAGGTGCTGCAATGCTGTAATGAGAAGGGCTCTAAATTGTCTCAATGCTAGCTCAGAGCTGGGTATCTTGTGCAATACCCCGCTTCTGTTTAAAACATGATTATGTGTCCAAATCCTGTTCCATTGATGTCGATGGTGATAGATCTGCATCCGTATGAAATTGCATCATTTCCTCAGGGAAGTCTTGGAAGAATTTATGACTGTATCACTAGCTTCCCGACCCTCATTTGCAAAAGTTATATAGCAAATATTTAGCACAGCTATAGCCATTAGAAATGCAGCAAGAGATTACAGAATTCCTTCATCCAGAGATGTAACTAGCAATTTTGGTGCCCTGGGCAGTGATGCTGTGAAGTGCTGGAGAGCTAGGGGGAAGGAGTGCAGAGTATTGAAGAGCAGGGGTATGGAGTACTGCAGGGTGCTCCTGGCACCCTAGGCTGATGCCCAGCTCATCCTGCCCTAGTTACAATACTGCCTACAGCTACCTGACATGCAGTGAACTGAAATATCCTTAGGAAAGAAACACAAGCCTCCATTCTGGTATGGTTTTACATGTCAGCAATTTCTATTCAAAAGTCTAGGAATCACATAGAAACAGACAGCACCAATCTCCACAGTTACCTCCAATGGAAACTCATGACAGCCACAGCACTGTAGCCAGCTGACAAGAGAGGCTTTAACACAATTGTGCAGGGGCCCGTACTGTCAGGCACTGAGCACCTTCAGCCTCCACTGAAGCCAATATGAATTAATGGACCTTGCAAAATTCCTCAACATTTTTCAGGACACAGTGCCCTAAGTGAGGGGACCTCCTACAGGTCTTTAAAGAGGATGTAAGGACTGAAGAACAAAACTGACAAAACAGGGAGATAGGAATGAGACAAATCCAGCATGCAGGACCCTATCCATTACAATGGTATTGCTACATGATAAAAGAAGTATAATAATAGTCAAACAAGAATGGTGGAGAAAATATGTATTTAGTAAAATACGCTTTAACATGGAGTAACACTGTGTCAGCAGGGGCAGAGCAGTAATACTTTCTGGAATGATATAAATACTATAGAAAGAGTCCCTTTCAGTTATAGCCCCTCCGAAAACCTCCATACGAGGCCTCCTATTCAGCAGTTCACTGCAGTGCCTGGGTCTGCAAGGAGCATCTGTCTCTCTCATACTGCATAGTCAGGGTCAATCCACTCTCACGGTCACAGCATAATGTTAATTAGAAACTCGCTATGTGGCTGCAAAAAAATCGACGAGTGGTAATAGAATTTAAAATTCATCTGTCCCAGACACAGAATGGCTGCAGCTGCCTGTAACCACAGAGCAAGCTACTTAGCATTGAGGTATATGGGCTATCTGCAAGGAGTAACACTCAGACCTTGTTCTGGGTCCGAGAGTCTGAACCATTTTTATTTTTTTTTAATCCTTCCCTCAGAGAGTGTATTCTAAATAGTCAATGCACACACATACACTTGCACACATGCATGCACATGCACATACATGCACATAGGAACCTCAACAGATGTTCCTTTAAAGAAGAAAAAAACTACAAAGCAGTTCTTTCAAGGTCATTTTATTCATTAAAAAAAAAAAAAAAGAATCAGCAACATGATGCCTTTTAGCAAGCTTCAGATTCATTTTCAGGTATTTCAGGAAGTGAGCCTGTTGTGTGTGTTCTGACATTACAAGATCATTGAAGGACACTTGTCTGTACTAATCTTTTTTACCATTAAATAAATACCTTAAAATAATCAAGTGCCAGCACAGCTCTAGCTTACCAGTTTAGGAGGGTAACTGAAAGCTGCCTTTGTTGCACATATGCAGAATAAGTAAGGGACCCCTGGAGACTGACTCTCAGTCCTGTGCTGTGTATGTTCGGCAGTTTGTTTAATGAAGCCCTGCTGCTGCTCTGGAGCTCTCAGTTGTAACCTGCACGTGTTCAATAGAGTCAAGGTCATTTGGGCATCTGACCTCCCTGCATGGTTCCTCTCCTTCAGCTGGAAGAGGTAGTTTGATAATTTAGTACTTGTCAATAGTACACAGAATTGGGATGAGAATGAATTTATCTTAGTCTGATTCTTGTGGGGGGGGTGTTCATCTTTCTATAATGGGCTCTACCTATGGGTCCCAAATGCACAGTTGCTATTACATTACGAGGTATATGAAACTGAGCAGTTTCTGCTTCTTAAGATGACCTAATATACCAGGGTTCTTTGAATGACTTGATAAAATAGTGGATTGAGAGAACTGAATGCTACTCATTCATTCAGACTTTAAAATAATCCTTCAGTAAAATCCCTGACAAGAGGCAAGTAAGGAAGTTAAGTAGTTCAGGCTGGGAAATAAAGTATAGTCTTTCATTAGAAGTAGTTATAAGACAGCAAACAGATAACAAAGGAATGGATGTTACCAAGGCAGGAAAGTTTTCAGACTATTTCAGCTTGCACAGTCCAGTGTGGACCTAAAACAAAATAAAACAAAAATTTGAGAGTTCTAGCCAAGTTAAATGAATAGACAGTCCAATAGTACCTAAATCAACGATATCACAGCTGCAATATTACAAATATTGAAGAAATAATTTGACTTTTCATGGACTGTGTAAAACTCCAGGCTATTGTTCTATTTGTTATTTAGTTCAAGCTTCTTTCCTAATTCTGAGAACGGGCACCATGTGCCCAAAAGCTTGTCTAATGGCTCTCACAACTATGCCCTTGGTCCAATGAAAGACAGAAGCCAAAAAAATCCTTGCCTCTTGCTTATTTCCTATACTCTCCCACGGCTACAATGTCACTGCAACACTACTACAGAAATAATGGCACTCAGAAGCATTTCACTGAATTTGGAAGTAAACTAACAATCCCAAACTAGGAGTTTAAATTATGCATGCAGTACATGGCAAGAGTTTGGCTCCTAGAAATATGATTCACAGCATACAGAATAGCTAAGGTAGCCAAAAGGAAATGATAAGGAACAGGTTGCATTCGAATTCCTACCTCTTCCTTGGACTTAGGCACTTACCTGCAGTTACAAGTTATATAATTATATGATACAGGGATTTGCAATCCAACTTCTTCCCTCACACTTGAATGCCCAGTTATCTCTTCAGGCAGGTAAAGGTGACTGACTCTTTTACAACAGAGAGAGTGAAGGAAGTAGCGATGGTGGCACTACTGATTCTGTTTTGAATAAGGGCCAAGTGGTTAGAGTACTTGTCAAGGAAGCAGGGGCCTAAATTCAAGTCTAGGGCAGGGCTCTTGGTTTGTGAAGCCAGAAAGATAGCAAGCAAGAGGGTGGATGGGCCCTCCCTAGAAATGAAGAGTCCTGGCTTCTGGTCATTGTCCTAGCAATGCTTAGATAGTTTGCATTATAGAGACACTATATAAAATACAGAAACACCAAGTGAACACCACTACATTTCATTTTGAATGAAAACTTCTGTGAATTTGGCTGACTTTCAGTTGTGCTCAAAGAATGCCTTCTAGATTGAGGCCCTTAAGAGACTCAGATACCAAAGTGCCCAAGTTATGAATCCCAAATGGGCCTTAGAGATTAAATAGAAATCAAGATGCTCAGCTTGACCAACAAAGTGGCACCACTGGACATTTACAGTAGCATAATTATAAGTACCAAAGCAATTTTACTGCTGAAAACATTGGCATTTACTGAAGCTCAGGTACCTCAGTGACTGGGCAGGATCTCTATGGATTTCTCACTTGAAACAGAGGCCTAAATTCTGCCTAAATTGTACTTCAAGTGCTTAAATACTTTTTTGGATCCAGACCTAAATTAAGTTTTGATACTTTTTTGCACGTGTCAATCATAGTCACTTTCAGAGTCATAAATCATAACAAAAGGGACAGGTGAAAGAAAAAACAGGCCCTGTATATTTCTATGTGGGAGAAGAAAGTATGGCTTAAACCATATGTAACAGGGTAGTCTGAACCTAGAAGGGAAGCAGACAGCCCTGGGGTAGGAGCCCAACTGTGGGTGATTATCTGGCAGTTAAAAGCCCAAGGGGAGAAAAACCAAGGATGGGGGGAAAAGTAGTTTGTAGGCAGGGAACAGACTGAAACCCAGCAGAGCTTGCCCCTAAAAAGGGCTCTCTTCAGCTACGTGGAGAAAGACTAACAGTTTGTTTTATGCATTTATTTGTTTGTCTGAACCAAGGAGTATTGGAGGAGCTCCAAGGGAACAAAGCCAGACAGTGGGTCTGCAGACTCCTAACCTTGCTTATGGACTGTTGTCTGGATGGTCTTAGGAATTCCTATGGGAGCAAAACCCACCTGCACAACAGCAAACACATGGACTTGCTTACACCACGTAAAAGGTCAGTAGAAAAGGAATTTTCTCTTTTCCTCTGGTTTTGCTTGAACATCTTTTCTGCTAGTATACCTTTAAAATCTTTTTGCAAGGTAGTCTTTGTTATATCCCCTCCAACAGGGAAGATTTCACCCTCTAGATTACAGAGGCAATGGTGTGCACTCATCTAGATATGCCTTTGTTCATAAAGATGAAAGGTCCAGAAACATTCCCCATGTGCCTTAAAAACTTATCAGCTTTTCATTGCTAATGCTGAGAGCTATTCAAGGGAGAAACTGTTCAGAACTGTAGATTGCCAAGGTGACAACACGGGCAGCTGTGGATTTATTCAACTAATCAAAAGACGTTTCCTTGCAGCAAAGTGGGAAACTGAAATCAGCTTCTTAATTGACAATGTGAAATTCTCCATTATAGAGACACCTCCCTGTAGGAGCATAGGTACCCCAAGAGGCATATCATCCCTGCATATCTCAACTTGCTCTCTCTGCACCTGTTTCCAGGAGGGAAGGATTCAAGTTCTCTGCTATACTTATAACAAGCGAACATTTCTTTCTCTGGCTAATTTCCATATTGTATTTGGTTATTTATGTCATGTGGTTTCCATTTCAATAAAAGGAGAGGATCCAAATGGCCCTGAATTATTTTCAGACCATGTATTGCTATCAGTTTTTGTGGCTCTTCAAAAAGTCAGTCCACCAAAGAGTCATTAATAACAGAGTAAAAATCTGTCATTACTTTCTTGTTCAGGTAATGCATTCTAAAGACAAAGGCATCCCATAATTTATTTGCAAAAACCAGAAATCCCTTTTGACTGAATAACTGACAGCTTCAGCAGTTTATCAAGGTCACAGAGTAAAGGTTGCCCTTGGGGTATAGGTATCTTTGAATCTACAATGTGCCACATCTGCAAGTATCCAGCAAAAAGATATTGTGTATGGTGTATTTTAACTCCATCTGGTTTGAACGGGGCTGGTTTAAGAAGTCTTAATGGTAAGTGTCAATGGTAAATTCTACTTCTGTGCTAAAGACACATCTGGAACACTGATTTTTCCACCTGTTGGCTGTGCAACATTTTCCACTGGCCTGCAGTGCAACTTTTGCCATCAGAATGAAGCCCATGCCAATCTTCATGTGTATTGCTACAATCGTTATAAGCCCAGTGCAAAGTTCTGTGGGTTTCCAGAGTAATCTTAACCCATGCAAAGATGCCTCTGTTTTTTGTTTCATGTGTGCATTATGTATCTCATGTCTGTAAATAAATCAGTCACAGAGAACAATCTTTCAAACACCTGCATCTGCATAGCACTCAGCAGGATACTATCTAAACATCTTCTGATGTAATATCAGGTGGACACCAAAATGGAGGGAAAGAACCAAGTTTCAAAGTGAACTGAGAGACTGGAGCTGGGAAAGAATGCAAGGAATAAAATGAGATGTAGTTCTAAGAAATGTAACCAGGTAGATCTGGGAAAATATATACTGTGGCTGCCATCAAACAAGCTATTAAACTTTCAGCCACAAATAGACAGGAATGTGTAAATGGGACTCATTGCTTAGAGGATGTGTCAACCCAAAAGGAGGTAGGTGAGCTATGCAGGTGAGTCAAAAACTTCAGGGAGAGTGCCTAAACCTTGATTAGAAGGAATAATTTCCATTCAAGCCTATCCTGAGACTTTAAAAAAGATGCAGGAGGAAAGGTCTAGATAACAGCTGGTTCTTTTGGTCATCATCTTCCTACTGTCTCCATGCTTGAGGACGTGCTTGAGTCTCATCAGATGTTGTACTTATTGGGTGAAACACTATAAATCCTGGACTGGACTTCATGTCAGGACAGCAGACCTAGTTGCACTGAAGAGGAAAAATAAATACTTTTGAGATAAAATAAACTTTAATTTGGAGATCTAGTAATCCTAATCTGTAAAACTCTGGATGAGGATCTGGCACATGTAGGCTGGAAGAGTCCTTGGTTATAGATTTGTGTAAAAAAAAAAATCCTTCCATTGATCTATACATAGTATGTGGGATCTAATGTGAGAGATAACTAAGACTGTAGGCTCCCTAAAGCTTTTTTGCTTAACACTCTTATTAGTTGTTGCTACAAAACAAAATTAATAGGGATAATTAGCATTTTGGTTCTATTGATGACTTGCTTAAATGAAGTATTAAATAGTCTTTTACTTATATAAGCTTGAGCTGGATTCCTGAACCTAGTTTAGGAAAATTGGTTATTGCTGAAAAAGGCACAATTGTTAAAGAGGTGGCCAGAACTAGAACAGAAACAAGAAGTCAGAACTGATGTCTGAATGTTGTCAGAGCTCTGAAGGAAAACCTGAATAGTGCCTGCTCATATTTGCTAGCTTTCAGGAAGAGCTAGCAATATTTTTTTACCTACTTCTCCATCATGTTCTCAGATTCTTCTATGTGTAACTGCATAAAACATTGTACATTATATTAATATTCTAATTTTAAAAGATGGCATCTATTAGATTATATATTAGCTACTGAAGATATCCTAGGAAAAGGATATTTTGCTTGGAAAAGTGGTTTGAAATTTAAATTGGGGAAGTAATATCATATCCCAGTTCTAGCCCCACAGATATTCCCTCAGTTTTGTGGGAAAGTAGCCACTAGAATTTTTAATAATTCTTATAAACCATTTCTTTGACAGATCAGAAGTTCACAGACTACACAAAATCATCTGGGATAATGGCTCGTAATCAAATTATGCAAACTATTTAAACCTCGGTTGTCATAGAAAAAAATTAATCACCACTGCTCTGCAGCATCTCTGACATGGCAGGAGCTTATAAGTATCTACTGCAATCAAAAGGGGGCCGAGGAACAAAAATACAAAGGAAGGCCAAGAGAAGAAACAAGTGTTTATGATTCATTTTGCCATGCTGAGTTTACTATCCTTCATTAACAAGATGGTATAGAACAACACCTGTCACATGTTGCTCCCATTAAAGGCTCAGTCCTAGTTTTGTTGTTGATGTGACTGGTTTACAACTATACTACCTTCAATTTAAGAATGATCAGGAGGATTCCCTGCCCTTCTGCACTAGCAGACACAGTGTAGAAGAATGGCACAGTCTTTCTGTCCAGCCCGGGAGGCACAGGCTGTTTCCTTCACAGTGCTGC